CAGCAGGAAAAGGAGAGGCAGCAGCTATGAAGATCTGAAAACTGGCTCTGCTCTAAAAATATATATATAAAATCCAGATCAATGCCATAGGTGTTGGCTCTTCGTCTCTGCTAAATATCATCAAGTGTTTCTTACCATGTGAGACTGTTAAACCAAGGTCTGTGTCACTGCTTAACAAAGGGTATATTTTTAAAAATGAAAACATAACTGGCTTTCTGTTTAACATATTTATGTCATCTCTGCCCCAGTCTCCTCGCCAGTAGAAAACTCTGCTGTAAGAGTTGAAATCCACAATGTGAACACTTCAGAATAGTCAGCAATTATTTGCAAATCAGTTGGTGTCTTGATTTTTATCTAACATCTTTATTTTTGACTTTTCCTGCCTTTTGGGGGGTATTTTCCTAATTTTTAACACCTTCGCTAGTTAGAATGTATATCTCTTATTGCTGGGAAACATAGGTTTACAGAAAAGTGAACCAGAAGCTTTAGGGTTAAATTGGGGCTTTTGGAAAATCTATATTGTAATTGTGTGTCTTTACTAGTCTTAATTAACGTGGCAATTATTGATTGACCCCTAGATAATTTACCTAACTCTCCTTCTAAAAATTATTTTGAACCCAGTTTTTTCTTTTTTTAAATTTGTTTTATTGAAGTGTAGTTGATTTACAATGTATTAATTTCTGCTGTACAGCAGTGATTCAGTTATATATACATATGTTCTTTTTCATATTTTCCATTATGGTTTACCACAGGATTTACCACAGGATATTGAGTATAGTTCCCTGTGCCATACAGTAGGATCTTGTTGTTTATCCATTCTGTAAATAAAGTTTGCATCTGCTAATCCCAAACTCCTGCTCCATCCCTCCCCAATTCCCCCTTCCCCTGGGCAACCACAAGTCTGTTCTCTGTGTCTTCCTTTTACAAATTTTTAATTTCTCCTCACATTTCATCATTTTAAGGAAGTTGGGAGACAGGGATTAGTATTTCTCCTGATGGAGTTGAATCATCTGTTAAGGATTTCCAAAAATTTTTAAGTATTTTTATGCTTTCCAGTCATGTGAGAAGAAAGTGTCAGGAATTGTCCCAAGGTCAACCAGCTGTACCGTGTCTGAGTTGGGTGGGAAACAGCAAGATTCATTTCACCCCCCGCCCATAATGGTGCTGCCAGCGTTGTTGTGTTTTGATAACAGGAACACCGTTTGCTGAATATCCGTGTTTCAGGAGGCTTACCTTTGTTCTTTCTCTTCTTTACAACATCTCTGTAAAGAGTAGGAACCATTGTCCCAAGTTTACCACAGATGAGGAATCCTAATTCCTGATTCTTTGACTCTGGGATTTTCACAAGGTCATACCCACGTTGAGCGGCAGAGCTGGGATTTGAAGTCAGGTTGGTCAGAATTCAAAGTCCAGGCTCTGGAGACCTGTTAACATGCTCTGTCCTTGTTAACTTTAGTGATGAAGCTCCCTCCTTCCACTAGGCCCCAGGGAGACGGGCGGTGCAGGAAGGGTGTGGACTGGCGGGGCAGGGAAAGGGCATCGTGGCCAGTGCAGGGCCTGGAGGTTGCTGGGGTGTGGGGAGTGAGGCAGGGAGGGGGAGATTGATGCAGAGTTCCCAAGGACCCCCGGGCAGCCACCAATGGCAGGTGCCTCTGCAGCGCCTGCCGGCTGCCCAGGGAATATGTTCTCGTTGTTCGTGTTGGTTTCCCTTGTTGGTTGGCGAGGTAGGTGTTTCTTCCTCAGTTGTGCTTTGCCTGCACTGACCCCTGAGATCTGTGATTCACTTGAAAACCTCTGGTACTCCTATGTCCTTGGTTTTTAGGAAGGTAATTTCTCTCATGGCTCTGGGAGGCATTGGGAGGATGCACTTGTCTAGTGTTTGGAAACGGAAAGGTATATAACACGGGTGCTGAGTGCTATTGTGATGGTTACACTGCAGTGAATGGAAGCGCAGCTCAGAAGTGTTGTTGGTAGAGGCTGGCGATTCCTGGGTGTCTGCATCAGGGGCGACGGCTTGTTGCTTCTGGTGCCCAGCACATCCTGGATTTACCTGGACCCTTTTTTCTTGTCTTTCACCTAAGGCAAGCACTGCCACAGGTCGAGAAGGGGGAAGCGGGGATTTTTAGAAAATGTCATTGGCAGAAAAGGGTCCTGTGAAGATGCTGGGTGTGAGAAGACGTGACAAGTCCTCTGGGCCTTTGCCTGGAGGCTTTCAGAGAGGAAAGGGAATGATGTGTTCTTGGGTGTATTCCAGGTACTGTGGAAAAAAGGCACTAGCGTGGACCAGGCACTTCTCTTTTAATAATAACTCGTCCTGTGTAAGATAAAGGCACCTGTTGTACTTTAAATTGGTGGGAAACGTCATCTTGGGTCGAGAAGGTTTTGAGGGTCACGCAGCCAGTGAGAGGTGGGCCTGGGGTTCAGCACCTGCCCTCAGGGCCTGGCATCTCTCCTTTATACCATGCTGCAGCCAGGCCACCTGCCAGCTCAGGCTCATTGGGATGCAGAGGTCCCTACATTGGGTCTGGGAAGTGCCTTTGTGCTGGTGGCTTGCTCTTTTTTTTTTTTTTTTTTTTTAAAGATTCTTTTGATGTGGACCATTTTTAAAGTCCTGATTGAATTTGTTACAATATTGCTTCTGTTTTTATGTTTTGGTTTTTTGGCCTCAAGGCATGTGGGATCTTAGTTCCCCGACCAGGGATCGAACTCACACCCCCTGCATTGGAAGGCGAAATCTTAAACACTGGACTGCCAGGGAAGTCCCTGGCGGCTCTTTCTGATCTGGTCCTGAGGACATAGCCCCGTGACACCTAATCTGTTCAGATGAGACTAGCTCTGCTCCCCTGGGGAACGTCAAATCAGCCACCATTGGCCAATCCCCAGCTAGCCACTGGCACGTCCTTGGCATTTCCACGTGTGGCCAGCGGCTGAGGCACCTGCCTGGGTCCTTTCTCCAGCCGTCGTGGTCAGACAAGGTTCTGAGGCCTGTGGAGGCCCTGCCTGCTCTGTGCCTCTTCCCGAGAGGTGGACGCCCTTCAGTGTTCCTCGCAGGTGTCGGCCATGGGCAGCTGAACGTACCTCCTTGAAGCACAAGGGCCCTCTCAGGCCGAGTTACCTGGATTTTGTTTTCACCCTCTTTCTGGAACTGGTGTGAACTGAAACTGCGGCAGAAGCTATGAGAGGCCTCAGAGATTCAGCCGATGTTTGTCTCTGAGAGTCATACGGTAAACTCAGTTTCTTGTGCCGTGCAAGGTGGTTATTGCCCTGATAGCATCTCCTAGTCCCTGGTTGCACGGGTAGGTAAAGGGACACCTTCGTGGGCACGGGAGAAGGCTCTGGCATTAATGTTCCAGCACCTTCTCTCAGGTGTTGGCCCCCAGGCCAGATCCAGCCTGCTGACCTCTGCCTTAGATCATTCTGCAGAAAGGCTTTTTCTTGGCAAAAGGCCTCAGAGGAGCTGGTAGAAAGTGGGTAGAGAAGTTACTGTTTCATGGGTATGAAATTTCAGTTTAGGGTGATGAAAAAGTTCCGGAGCTGGATATGGAACTTCCTTTATAAACCTTGCAGTGACAACGATGGGTGGGTCTGATCAGTCCCGCTTTATAGCAGGATATATGCAGACTTGAAGTTGAAGCTATTTTCTTAAAATTTCAGGGCGAGTGGGAGGGCCATCATTCAGCCCCAGGGCTTTCTGAACTTATTTTGCCATAGATGTCTGGGTCTAAAGGGAAGCTGGAGGACTTGGGGCTGGTTCTTGCCCAGAGGACTTTTTAACATGCTACAGAAGTACTTGAAAGGTTTGTTTTGTCCCTTTTCATGCCTTTCCCCTGGACCCTCATACCTGTCTTGGACATGGACGAGCCAGAGGGGCACCTGGACAGTGCTTGGCCTCCCCGGGAAGAGGGGTTGCCTAGCGGAAATCTCCCCTTGCCTGCTTTGGGGCCCAGCTGAGGGTCTGTAGCTTCTGTTTTGTCCTGGCTGCCCGGTCATGACCGAGCCGGTCACATTCTGAGCCTCTGGTATCCGCTGCCCACAGGAGCTGCCTCAGCCAAGATAAGCGGACTCCTTGCTAATCACCCCCTGCCAGCTTCCCCCACCCTGAGCCCGCAGGCTGCCTGGGCCATGGGCTGGGCTTTCCCCGGAGCCCGACGGCGCTCCCCTGGCCACTCTCATTTCTGAATTTGTCTTTTCCTTTCTGCCCTTATTTTTGCCCTTCTTGGTTTCAAACTTGGACAGATTTTGCTCCTGCAAGTGGACACCCTCCATCCTCTCCTGGTCATCTGCATTCTTGTTGTGTGGGCCTCAGGCTGGAAGCCTTTTGTAATCACTCTGGGCTTTTCCACGCTCAGCCCTCTCTGCCGTGACTGTGTCTGACCACTGGTTCAGGATCCCGCAGGCGGTTCAGGGGACACGGGGACACCTGGGGGAGCTTCTGGGCTCTTAAAATAGTGTTTTATTTTAACTTATTTTTATTTTTTAAATTAACTTTAACTTTATTTTTAAAATATATTTTGAATTTTTAGCAAGTCAACCAGGGAGGAAGAATGAGGGCATCTTGTTTCTTGGGTTCCTAAGTTCTTTTTTTTTCTTTTAAAATTTATTTATTTATTTATTTTTGGCTGCGTTGGGTCTTCGTTGCTGTGCGCAGGCTTTCTCTAGTTGTGGCGAGTGGGGGCCGCTGTTAGTTGTGGTGCGCGGGCTTCTCATTGCGGTGGCTTCTCTGGTTGGGGAGCACGGGCTCTAGGCACATGGGCTTCAGTAGTTGTGGCTTGCGGGCTCTAGAGCGCAGGCTCAGTAGTTGTGGCGCATGGGCTTAGTTGCTCTGCGGCATGTGGGATCTTCCTGGGCCAGGGCTTGAACCTGTGTCCCCTGCGTTGGCAGGAGGACTCTGAACCTCTGAGCAACCAGGGAAGTCCCCTACTAAGTTCTTTTTGAGGTTCAGAGTTCATGCTGGTCCTGTGCTTAAGGAAAAACACCCTAAAAAAATCACATCTAATTATAAAAGTAATACAATTTCTACTGTCAAATCCAGTAAATTGTAAAGAAGAATGATAACAGTCAGAATATTCCTTCACCTAGACGTAATTAGTCAGCATTTTGGTGTATATTTTCATCTACACCTATGCTTGTCTAACAAAATTGAGATCTTACTGTTTCTTTCTGTTTCCCCTAACATTATACTGAAAGCACTTAAGCATTTTCCCATGGCATCAAACCAATCTTGAAAACATCACATGGGGCTTCCCTGGTGGCCCGTGAGCCACAATTACTGAGCCTGCGCGTCTGGAGCCTGTGCTCCGCAACAAGAGAGGCCGCGATAGTGAGAGGCCCGCGCACCGCGATGAAGAGTGGCCCCCGCTCGCTGCAACTAGAGAAAGCCCTCGCACAGAAACAAAGAGCCAACACAGCCATAAATAAATAAATAAATAAATTTTTTAAAAAAAGAAAACATCACATGGATGGGTCATAGATTGTCGAACCATTCCCATTTTGGGGACTATATTTGCAGGTTTGCACTGTTACAAATAATACATCTTTGTAGTTAAATCTTTGACCTCATCTGTGATTACTGCCTTGAGAGAAAATCCTGGAAGTTATTGGATCAAAGGATATACATTTGCATTTCTCTACATGGACAAATTGCTTTCTGGGAAACCTTGTTCTGGAGTAGACATTCTACCGGCAGAGAATGAGTGTCTGTTTTCTCTTCAGTGTTTAGTCTTTATAATCATTGATAATTTAAGTGAAAAGTGGTACCTCGCTGGTATCTTCATTTAAATTTGATTACTAGTGAGGTTGAACACTTTCCCTATGTTTTTGGCCACTTTTATTTCTTTCATTAGTTTGTTCATGTCCTTTGGCAGTTATTCTGTGAGGTGGTAGCATTTTTCTTGTAGATTTGGAAGAGCTCTTGTAATGTTAGTGACTCTTTGTCATAATTGCAGATATTTTTCTCCACCAGGTTGCTTATTAGTTTTGTTGATTATATGTATGAGTGTGTGTTTATATGTACACAGGTTTTTAATTTTCATATAGATCTATATATATTTTTATGCTTATTACAAGTATTCAAAGTTTTCTTCTAAATCTTTAACTCATTAATCCATTTGAAGCTTATTTTGGTGGAAAGTATGAGTAATAATCTCTATCTTTTTCCAAAAGATCCCTTTCCCCAGCTCTGTCTATTGAAATACCGTTCCTTCTTCAATGACATGTAAGGCCATCTTTATCATGTACTATATTCTCATATGTTCCAGTCCTTTTTCTGGGCTGTCTGTCATTTTCCATTATCAGATGCGGTTGGAATTAAAGTAATTTTGAGCCCTCCTCATTGTCCTTTTCCAAGATCCTTTTATACAAAGGTAAAAGTCACTTTGTCTAGGTGGAGAAAGAAATATTCCCTCTGGGAATCAATTCAGCGAAAAGACACTTGGGGCTTCAATGCCAAAGAATCAGTCGCACAAGTTAGGGATGCATTTCCCAAAATAAGACTTTGCATAGTTGTGAAAATTTAAACAGGCATCTTGCCAAGTATCCTATGTACCAGCTGAAGGATCCACAGGGCAGTGAGTTGTAATAAAAAGGGCTATTTTTGTGTTCCTGCGGTGTGACTCCTGCGGTGAAAGAACATATACTATTTTCAAACCAGATGCATCCTTCTGGTTTTTAGATTCTGCCACTTCCTGGCTTATGTGTTTATTAGGACCACAGCTTCATGTTCTGCAAGTGATGTACGTTCCAGTGCTGTTGGGTTTGTCCGCCCTTTCATATCTCGGTGGGTGGGAACCACTGACCCTAGAGTGGGATACCCAGGTATTTTCCCAACTGTGAGATGACCAGTAGTTCTCTAATCCTGGATTCCATAGAAGTTCCTCACGGGGTTTACAGACTGTGAACAATAAAGATTTTAATCAGCAGAGAGAGTGTTTCATTGCTTACTTTATGTATTTAGGTTCTCTGTAAGATTTTGTTTTGTCCATCACTGATAGGTTCAACAAGCCCTGACCTAGATAGTCTAAGGTCTCTTGGAGTTCTAAAGTCATGTAATTCTGTAGTTCCTCATGCTATCAGCTCACCCAGAGCTAGCCCCAGGTGTCCAATTCTGTGTTCTTGTTAACAGAGAAGAAAGGAAACCTGGAGAATACTCTAGCCCACCAATTTCAGACTGAAAGTCTATTCAGGGATTGGTCCATTGTTTTCTCCTATTTTCTCTTTTGTCCCCCGGCTGCCTGGTGGCTTCAGAACATGCTCCTCCTTATGTGGGGTTCCTCCATCACTTATCTTTGTTCCACCAGGAGTAGTTCGTGATCTCGAGCTGTATTCTTTCTGTCCCAGGCAGGGAACGTGGTGACGGGAGAGATGGTGGAAGAGCTTATTCTTTCAGGAGCAGATATAATCAAAGTGGGCGTTGGACCAGGTAAGATTTGCTGGGAGCACAGCAGGGGCTGTGGGCGGAGGGGGGTGAGAATTGGAATCTGGGGCTTGGAGGGACCGGAGATGCCCAGAAGGTGCCCCATGAATGATCCATCCACAAGTTTAAAGCACATTTCTTTTGGAAGTTATCATTGAGCTTCTGATCAGAAGAGGCTCCTGAATAGAAATATCATTGAGCTGCTTTCTGATGCCTCTGGGGAAGTTCTGAATGAACTTGAATGTGGTTCGAATGAGCTCTTGGTTTCAGAACATTAACGTGGAAGAAAAGAATGAGGTCTCATGAATGATCCCATTCACCTTGAAGAGGAAGGTGAAGGGTGGAGAATCCATGGGGGCAAGTCTATGTGAATGTTCGAGGGCCCCCAAACATTGCAAATAGGCATGCAGCTGTGAGGTCACATTCGAACTTGACCTAAGGCTTAGGCGGTTATCATCTCTGGCTCCTCCCCTGGTACATATCCACCTCAGATTTTGCAGCATCCTCCTGGGCCTTCTCTCCCAGGATTGCCATTGGCATTTTGAACTGAGGAACGAGGAGGAACCTTTCTATCCTATACTGGGTGGTTCCATTTTCTCTTGGGGCCACTTGACGCTGGCCTTCCCCTTTGGCCAGACAGGAGCATGAGCTTCCATATTTTTAATACTTTCATTGTCACATTTTAAAATTCCTCCTTGCACATCCATTATTAACCAAACACTGAAACTGAAGAGAAGGAAAGAACGAGATACACATTTTTTTTTTTTTATTTTAAAGAAACCCATATTTTATGTATTCATTTTTGGCCGTGCTGTGTGGCGTGCAGGATCTTAGTTCCCTGACCAGGGATTGAAGCCATGCCCCCTGGAGTGGAAGTGTGGAGCCCTAACCACTGGACTGCCAGGGAAGTCCTGAGATACACATTTTCATTTGGGAATAAAAAATAGCAAAGATTTTTTATAGGTATCGTCCACCCAGAAGATACTACCAAAAAAGGAAGCAAATAATAAACCAATATGAGAAGAGTCTTTGGGAAAGCACTGCCAGGATGCAGAAGACATCGTTGTATTGTAACCTGGCACCGTTGTCAGCCTTGAGGAACTAGGGTGGACACGAAGAGACTCTTGGGGAGGGGGAGCCCTGTACGCTTGTGAAAGGCCCCGAACTTTCACTTTCGTCTTTACTGGGTGTCTGTCATTATTGAAAAGTCAGAGAGGATAAAGCCCAGTTCTTGCTTACAGGGCGCTCTGCCCACTTAGAATGGGCTGTAATAGATTAGGCTTGTAATAGAGTCGAATAGGCTGATAACAGGCCGGGAAGGCTCTTTTCCCCCAAAGCAGAGCACGCACCAGTCACCTATTTAATTGAGTGTCTCCTAGCTGCCATCGTGCAGGGTGGGTGCTGTACAGGATGTGAGGTGTGTAAGTGGTCTTCTCGGCCCTCAGAGCCGTTCCTGATGTAATCTTGCGCATTCAGCCACCCTCGTTTCCTTCCCAAACGTCCTCTATATATAGTCTCTTTCCCCCGAAGATTTATTGTCCTTCCACTGTCGCTGTGTGCCTCCCAGGCTGTCTGTTTAGAACAGGCGTGACTGAAGGGAGTAAGAGGCTTTCTTTGAGCCTGATGTATTGGAGCCACGTCTGTAAATTTATTGGAGAGGATGTTTACGTTTCACGAATTCTTCAGCATAAAAACACTGGGTACTGTCTAGGTGACAGGATTTAAAAAGGTTCATTATGGAACAACAACTGGCACTTGGGAAAAAGCATTAAAAATGCACCCCTCGCCCCAACCCCTGCTCTGGGCTGGTACCCAGTTTCTCCTTTCAACCTGGGGCTTAATCAAGACCACTCCCACGCCTTGTCCCTCACCTGTACAGAGCTCCAGGCCGCTGCAGCTGAGCCCCTGCCCTCCGTTGAGGATCTGGCAGATGAGTGGGAAAGGAGAAAAGCGAATTCTGAACCAGAACCAGACGTTATACAACTCCAGTTGTGCCTCGCACAGTGTGTGCCTGGGACAGGGGTGCCTTGGTCAGGAGAGAAGGTCATTGGCCCCAGGGCAGTGAGTGGCCTGTGTTGTGAGGATGGACAGAAAGAGCGGT